CCCACTTCTACCCCTTGGCACAGGGACCCCCCACTGCACAGCGACCCTCACCCCCCACTTCTACCCCTTGGCACAGGGACCCCCCATTGCACAGCGACCCCTGCCCCCCACTTCTACCACCAGGCACTACCCCCCACTCTCATTCCCTGACACAGAGATCCTCCGCCACCCACTCTCACTCCTAGGCTTAAGGGATCCCCCTAGTACAAGGACACAGCCCTGCCCTGCACAGGGATCCTCCATCCCCCCACTCTTGCCCCTGGACAGGGACCCACACACATACACATAGGAGTACACCCCTGCCCCACAGAGGGACCTCTCACCTCAGGCACAGGGAGGGAGCGCCCTGCTCCCCCCTCACCCTGGCCACAGGTAGCCCTTTTTCCTTCTCACCTCCCCTTGGGGACAAGAATCGCCCTCCGCAACACCTTTCCTCCAATGACAGCCCTTTCCTGCTCTCAGTCTGAACACACACACTCCCTCCCCCTGTGTGGGTATGTCTCTGAGGCGAGTGTATTAGGGAAATGGGAGGGGGAAGGAGATGATGCTCTGTGTAATTTTTTGGGTGAAGGGAGCAATTGAGATAAGTGTATTGGTGGGGACGAGGGGAAGGACTGAGCTGTATATTCACTGAGGGGTTGGGATGAGAGGAGAGAGCGCAGTGTATTTGGTGGCAGAAGGGGCTAGACTACATGTTCTTGGGGTTAGGGTGTTGGTGGCTGGTCTAGAGCTTCCCTCTCTGTGGGATGAGAGAACCTGATAGAAATCCTGTATACTGGGTGGAAGATTCGGTGTGACCCTCTCATTTGGGAGGCTCAGACTTTGGTGATAAATATCTGAAACCTACAAAAACAACAAGGAGTCTGGTGGCACCTTAAAGACTAACAGATTTATTTGGGCATAAGCTTTCCTGGGTAAAAACCTCACTTCTTCAGATGCATAGAGTGAAAGTTACAGATGCAGGCATTATATACTGACACATGGAGAGAAGGGAGTTACTTCGCAAGTGGAGAACCAGTGTTGACAGGGCCAATTCAATCAGGGTGGCTGTAGTCCACTCCCAATAATAGATGAGGAGGTGTCAATTCCAGGAGAGGAAAAGCTGCTTCTGTAATGAGCCAGCCACTCCCAGCAGTAGCTTAGCTAGTGGAGTTCAGGGGAAGCAGCCGCTTCCCCTGACCATATTCCCCAAAAGTGGCGCCTGCGGAACGGCACCGCAGGCTGGCTCCCGGCGCTCCAGCCGGCGGAACGGGGCCGCGGGCTGGCTCCCGCCTCCTGGTGCTCAGGCCTGCCTGGCCGGCGGAACGGGGCCGTGGGCTGGCGCTCTGGCCAGCCCAGGACTCCGGCCCTGAGAGAGCGTGGCCAGGGGTCTCGGTGCCCCGGACAGTGCTCCGGATGGGGAAGCGGGGCGGCCCTGCGCATGCGCCGCTCCATCTTTTGGCGGCATTTCGGCGCATGCGCAGGGCCGCCGAAATGCCACCGAAGGACCGGCGCCTTTTTTCTCCGCCACTCCTCGTCGGCTGCAACCCTGGCTACACTACTGACTCCCAGTCCCTATTCAAGCCCACATTAATGGTGTTAAATTTGCAAATGAATTTTAGTTCTGCTGTTTCTCTTTGAAGTCTGTTTCTGAAGGTTTTTTTGTTCAATAATAGTGACTTTTAAATCTGTAATAGAATGACATAAGAACATAACATAAGAACATAAGAACGGCCGTACCGGGTCAGACCAAAGGTCCATCTAGCCCAGTATCCTGTCTACCGACAGTGGCCAATGCCAGGTGCCCCAGAGGGAGTGGATCAACAGGCAATGATCAAGTGATCTCTCTCCTGCCATCCATCTCCATCCTCTGACAAACAGAGGCTAGGGACACCATTCCTTACACATCCTGGCTAATAGCCATTAATGGACTTAACCACCATGAATGTATCCAGTTCTCTTTTAAACGCTGTTATAGTCCTAGCCTTCACAACCTCCTCAGGTAAGGAGTTCCACAAGTTGACTGTGCGCTGCGTGAAGAAGAACTTCCTTGTATTTGTTTTAAACCTGCTGCCCATTAATTTCATTTGGTGACCCCTAGTTCTTGTATTATGGGAATAAGTAAATAACTTTTCCTTATCCACTTTCTCCACATCACTCATGATTTTATATTCCTCTATCATATCCCCCCTTAGTCTCCTCTTTTCCAAGCTGAAGAGTCCTAGCCTGTTTAATTTCTCCTCATATGGGACCCGTTCCAAACCCCTAATCATTTTAGTTGCCCTTTTCTGAACCTTTTCTAGTGCCAGTATATCTTTTTTTAGATGAGGAGACCACATCTGTACGCAGTATTCGAGATGTGGGCGTACCATCGATTTATATAAGGGCAATAATATATTCTCAGTCTTATTCTCTATCCCCTTTTTAATGATCCCTAACATCCTGTTTGCTTTTTTGACTTCCTGTGCACACTGCGCGGACATCTTCAGAGAACTATCCACGATGACTCCAAGATCTTTTTCCTGACTTGTTGTAGCTAAATTAGCCCCCATCATATTGTATGTATAGTTGGAGTTATTTTTTCCAATGTGCATTACTTTACATTTATCCACATTCAATTTCATTTGCCATTTTGTTGCCCAATCACTTAGTTTTGAGAGATCTTTTTGAAGTTCATCACAGTCTGCTTTGGTCTTAACTATCTTGAGCAGTTTAGTATCATCTGCAAACTTTGCCACCTCACTGTTTACCCCTTTCTCCAGATCATTTATAAATAAGTTGAATAGG